CGCAATCATCGAGAACATTTTCTTGTCTGGGTTACGTCGCACATCTGCTTAACGAAGCTGTTTTTCGATATCATACTTTGTATTTGAAAATAAAGTATCTTGCATAATTCAAGAAAATCCGTGTCTCGAGCATTTTCAATATCAAACATTGAATTACTTGAGAGTGAATAGGACATTTATTCCCTCATTGCCGTGAAATAAAAATAAAAGCACTTGTATCTGTTTGAAGCTATAACTAAAGCGTCGAGACGAAACTTGATTATTCATTCAAAGTTCATTCCTTGGTTATTGTATCGAGAGCAAGCACAAATCAGTAAATCCATACTGATGCTTTTATCTCGAGATTGCGAAATCATTCATACGAAAAGTTGTGATTATAAAACGGTGAACGTGAAACACGCAGAGAGTATGAGCGCAATGGTAAATGATTGGCATCAATCCTTTCTCATTAGATTTTTCCCATATAGCCACGCGCTGCACAGGTGCGCTGTGTTGCTTCACTTTCTCTCAAGAAAAGCAGCTACCTAGAGTAGACGTAGGGTGAAAGAGGCGGAAAAAGGGTCTCGTCGGTGCACGCACGTAACTCGTCATTAGAGACGCAGCAGCAAATAGGTCGCACCTGCTCCCTTTCAATTCTTCTCTCTCTTTCTCTTGTAACGCTCGTCACGAATGAATGACGACGTCATATCTCACACGCTCAAGTTCATTGGCCTCTTGATCGCACGGCTGATCATTTTGAAATTTCTTCTTTTAGTTTTATAGCGGCCTTTCAAAACTTTCGTCGGGAGAGAACGATTAGAAATTGTTTGAACGACGAAGACGTTGAAAGAGAGAAGAGTGAAAGGAAGTGTTGCATTGTCACCCCTTTTCTATTGATCGTCGCAAGTGGTTTTGATTGAACGGGGCTTCCGGTAGTGCAAGGACGCGGTAGTGCACTCCTTACAAAAGGATTTCGCGTGTACTTTCGCGAAGGGAACATTTATGTGAAAAACCACGCACGCTCTTACCACATAAAAGCAAACTCATGACTTACCAAGACCGACAAATTGTATTATTCTTACCGGAGTAATAAAAGAGCTACTCGAAGTACAGATTTGCCATTCGAGCCTATAAATAATCTCCCTGCAAACGAACGGAAAATTTCAGCGTCGTGTAAAATTCCAGTCTGTTCCGCAAAATTACCGAGAAGAGCGAGAGAGCAAACACGCGGAGCTCAAATGGAGCATGAAAAGAGTGTATATTTTTTCTTTTTTTTTCTGACTGCCGAATTTAGAAGCGCATCGACAGACCTACCTTCGTCTTGGCTGAGCGCGCGCGCGCGCGCGCGAGACCGAGCCACGAGCATACGATCACGCGTTGCGCTTACGCACTTACTTTCTTTCGAGTCCCCCAGCGAAGCACATATATATTCCATGACTTTTTTCATTGCCGAGCGTCTGTGTATGATAAGTCGCTTATCGCCGTTCGTTTTCCTCGACGCCGTCGCCGCCTCGTTGCGGCCAGGGACCGCGAGAGAGATCCGACGATTTTTTTTTCTCGCGAAGCCTGGATTTTTCCAGTTGTCAATTTCTGGACTCATCGAAGGCTTCGAGAGCCGTTTTTCGGGCACGCGACGTTATCGTTGAAAAGCGCGCACGATCTTTTATTGGCGTGGCTGTGGCGAGGCCCCGATGCCAACACGTTCGCCGGGGAAAAAAGCAGTGCGCTCGCGCGTGCGCGCGCCGCCAAAAATACTTTCTCCGTAAAAGGGGGATGCACGCAACACGTCTAACCGTGCAAGAACGCCGCCGAAACGTGAGATGCGAGCCAATATACCAATATACATCGATGAGGCGCTTTTTCTCTTGCGTCGGCATGTGTGTGCAGCAGTAACAAATAGATCGCGAGCATGCGCGCGTACGTATGTGTGTGTGCGCTGCACGCTCTCCTCATTTGAATCGTGTTTACGTCGCTAATTGATCGCCAGGAAATTGAATGCTCGCGCGGGCATTGATAAAAAGAACACATGTGTACAGCAGTTGTCGATGAGTATATGCTTTGCCGCCGTTTCTTTCCTTTTCTTTTTCTTTCACCAAGAAGGATGATAATTATTGCTGGTAGGAGTATATACTGTCTGATCGATGCTTGAAAAAGTTGCGTATCGACGACTCATAAGAATACGCGTGCAATTAATTGTAGAAGACATCATAAAGGCAGATAATCAATTCGCCTGTTAATCCAGGTAATTATTGCTGAAAAACTGTCAACATGGAATTTGGTGGAATTAAAAGTGTATCAGACATTCGGCCTGAGTGCGTCAATTTAAAAATGACTAGTGCACGAAGCTTGCCATCGGTAGTCTTCTTATCGCGCCATCAGTACTAAATTCGTCAATGTCACTGAATAAATTAAATCATACATTACGCCGAGCTACGGCATTTTATAAATACGCAAAATGCTTGACAATGCCGCCCTTTGCCCTTTGCCCTTTGCCCTTGAAAAAGTCCCTATCGATCTTCACGGACGCGCCAAACTCCGTCCAATCGACTGGCAAAGAGATCGGCGTTTGGGTCGTCACGCCCGGTATCGAAAAGAGCGAGACGCTCAGGCAGAAGGAGGAAAAAAAAACAAAATGATAACAACGGCGGCGACCCGATGAAGAAGAGCTGGATGAAACGCGCCAAGCGGCACGAACTATACACGACGAAACGGCGCGGATTTTACCCCACTCTTTTGCTCGGCGACTCGCTCGCAAGCGCGTGTCAACCTTGCCTTGTCCTTGAAACCACGCGACCGCTTACATGCCAAGAGTCGTGCGCGCGCCAGACCACAGCGGCGCGTGCACCACTCGCGCTCTCCGACGCTCACGACAATACATGTGTGTGTGTGTGCGCGTGTGTGTGTGTGTGTGTATGTGTGTACGCTTTTGATAGACGTGCACTTTCGAAACACTTTTTTTTAGACGGTTGATTTTCAGCAGATCATTTCATGCCATTTTTCCGATCAGTCAAGACAAGGCTCGCGCGATTGTTGATCTCGTTATCATCGGATCTACTCAAACAACTACTCGATGAGCAGTTATCAAGTGAATTAGGAATATATATTTTAAAAAATCACGTCTGCGTATACAAGCGTGCGACTGTATAATTCTTGCTTTTGAAAGAGTTACGTGAAGCGTAAAAGCGTTTTCTTAATGAAAGCGTGTGAATAAACTATTGAATCGAGTCCAACTATACGGCGGCAGTTTATTTTGCGCTCTCCAACTCTGTGGGGACAAGATACTCGATATCGCCGAGTGATTAACCTACAGGCCTCGTGCCAACTTTAGGCGCGCGTGAGTTATATATTTATCAGTTGAAAGTTTCGCTGAAAAGTCTGAACACTGAATACGATGTCGTTCGATCGAGACGTACCCATTGTTACTACAAATACACACGTGAAACGCGTATTATTCCATTGATTATTTGTGATCATCGAATCAGAATGGGCTATAGGAGTTCTGTATATGTTATTATTAAAAAATTTTTTAAAACATGAAAAACTTTCTTTTACCTATTCCATTTCTTTCAATTGTTTCACAGTAAAAGGAATTACTTAGCTCTAATTTTTATTTTAGAAAATGAGTATTTGACGGCAATTTGCGCATGTACTACGTATATTTTATGTTACAACCGATTTTAAACCGAGCTGTATCCAAAAAGCCTAAACGCATCCTGAATTCTAAAAAAACAGCGAAAGAAAAACGAAATGGATTGCAGAATGACGTCGACGCCCGCGGTATCAATTAACCTCCTGGGATTCCCAGGTAAGCACGAGCTCTGTACTGGCGTTAATTATGCAAATACAATTCTTTACCCGGTTTTTGCAATCGGCACTCGCGCCTCGGAAACATGCGTCACGTTATTTGTATCCACTATATATGAGCCGGCGCGCGGCGTCTCATTGTCTTTCGATTTTTTTCCTTCTCTTTCCCGCACTTCGGCACTCCACATTTTAATCGCGCAAGTGGTCGCGTGTCCATGAGTCATGCGTCTAGAAGTCGATCGTCGCGACTGCCTTTCAATATAATACCAGCGACACATTATAATACCACACTGCAACGATGGTTGTCATGCGGTGCTAAAAAATTACAAGTGCAGACGCGGGTGATATGCGTTACACCAGACTATACATCATTTTCCAGCTGTTTTCTGCATTATATACAAACTTTTTTTGTATGACGAGGGCTCAAAAAGCACGCAATTATACACCATTACTTTTCCTGTTTCCAATTCTGACATTTTCGACAGTAATGTCATCGTGCAATGTTAATTTTTCTTGGAGGATAATATTTTTCGTACGTCAATCGAACAATCAATTTCGATGCTTGACGAATGCCGTCGAACAGATTCCATCTTCATTGATATCCACTGAAGTTGCAATAATTTTTTATTTGTCAAATTGGCAGGTTCAGCGAAATTCCGCCAGACGGCAGCACATCTTTGTAGCAAGATTTTTCGAGGGCTCTTTGGCTGCGGGCAAGGGACAACCTTGGGACTTGAGACCCTCCCGTGCTACTTGGACCGAGTTTCTGAAGATGGAGCCACCTCACTGGCTATCGGTCTACTCTCTCAACTGCCGCGGGACCCTAGTTGCCAGCTAACTTTGCATCCGAAAGGATCACGTTGGACATACCTCTGAGCTCTGCTGTGATATGGTCCCTATGCCAAGTTACTCTTCGCCACTTTTTCTCATTTACTTTGTATCCGTAAAATTCAAAGTTATTATGTATTGAGGGTATAATGAAATTGAATGATAGCGTGTGACATAAAACGTATTGCCAACTCAAACAACGTTTTACAAGCGAAAGAATAGAACTTTAAAAATTCTTTGTTTAAATTCAAATAATCTATGCGAAAAGTTTCCCGTCACTGTAACTAAATTTAAGCGAAGTTTAAGTCAAGATTCAATTTTTGTAGTTGTAATATTTTTCAAGTTATAATAAAAATATGTATGGTATAGGGTAATAGTTTTGAAGAATAAGTTAGTATGTAAGGTTTAGAGATCAATATTTATTTTGATACTCTTATATCGTAATAAGCGTGGTTTTCTATTTTTGTCAATAGATAGGTAATACAAATTTTTTCATCTCTGCATTCATAAATATAAATAGTATTCTCGATTTATCATCACACATCGCTCATCATGCAAACACATTCTCAAAGTAAATTAATACGATTTATAACCAAGATCGACGAATTTTGATTGAATTTTCGCATCGAAGTAAATTACAAAAGAAAGAGGGAAATCTCGCGCCTCAGTCGGAAGTTGTACATTACGTTCAAGAAAAACAGAATTGGAAGACGTCAGTGATTCTTGTTGCGTAAGGCACTTAATAAAATTAATAAAAAATAAACTTAGATATTTACATAATGATATATGTACACGAAAAGTAAATAGGGCGCGTCGTGGAAAATTGAACGAAGATCGAGCGCTCGGGCGCGCGAAGTTTACATAAACAAAAATAAAAATGAGTAAACCATATCGTCGTTTACATCGGAATATCACGTTCGCCAGAGAGGATGTATCAACGTGGGTCGCCGCTGTTGTACAAAACCATCGTCTCTTAAGCTATACTAGGGAAAGCTGAAAGTCTTTCCCTGCTCGAGTCCGCGTTTGCACAATTGTTCTCTCTACGTACAAAGAGGCACTGAAAAATTAAGGCTCGACCGTTCATTCGTATACCGCGGACTCGCACACTGCTCAATTATTACATCTCGCGCCACTCCGCAATATTCCACTTCGCATAACGCTTCGCTTAATACACTCTATGAATAAAGTCAACGAAAGGAACAACGTCTTCTATGTCACATAATCTCTCTCCGGCTCTTGAATCACGGGTTAATTGAACTCGCCGCCAGGCGCACGAGCGATCACAGCATCTTTCCTCCGCCTGCCTCGGCGGCAAATCTCGACGTTGCGGGGTCAAGATTATTTACCAAGGTCGCCAGCACTTCTCCTCGCGGCTCTCGCGGATCACACTTTTCCTTCTCATGACGAGGCTGAGCGGAGCCTGAAGGGGCGGACTGTAGGAGCGCGGGTCGTTGTACTCCGGGTCACTGGTGTAGCCGGTGGTAGCGGGCGAAGTGGCGACGTCGCGGGTGTACGACACCGGCGAGGGCGGTGCCTCGAAGGCGACCGGGCTGCCGGCCGAGGTGGACGTCGAGCTTGCCGACGACGTGGACGACGAGGCGGAGGCGGTGCTCGCTGTCCTCTGTGGGATCGGGATGAGCGATGGCATCGGCGACGACGGCGCGGGCGAAGTGGCGGGCGACGAGGCCGGGCTCGCCGATGTGTTTTTGGGGTTGGCGGCGACGAGGGCGATGTTCCCGTTGGGTAGTCTCGTGGGCACCAGTTGGAGGGCCGTGCCGTTGGCGTTCATGTACAGGATGCCGTTGGACTGTTGCACTTGGATGGTCGACGTGGTGTCGACTTGCGGAAGAATGTGCACTTGAAGTTGAGTGGTCGTTGTCTGAGCCGATTGCACTGATTGACTTTGGGCCGTTGCGCTGCTGCCGTCGGTCGTGCTGCTCTGCAGGCACGAAGCCAGATGGGATAGCAGGCGACGTTTCACTGTGGCTTCGAGCCCGGGGAACTTGCCGACCTCGCTGGCGCACTCGCTGAATCCAGCGCGGAATTTGTTCATCACGGTCGGATCAGCTGCCGCGGCTAAGGCTACCTGTTGACGCTGCACGCTCTCCAAGTGTTTCACTGTCATTTCCAGGATGTCGGCCTTTTCCAGCTTCGAGTGTCTGGCTGGCTGTAAGCAGAAACAAGAGAAATGCTCGTTAGGCGACTGTTTCACATTTTTCATCTTGCATCCGAGTGCTCTTCTTTTTTATAGCACTCGTAACTCGTAAACACTTACGTCTTTTTTCATTGCGTCGAGAATCAGCGTCTTCAGATCATTCAGACAGTTATTGATGCGAGCGCGACGTCTTTTTTCCATGATTGGCTTGTTGCTCTGCAATTAGAAAAAAAAGTCATGCAAGGTTAGATCATTCGTCAGCGGAGAATTTTTTTTCAAACTCCAAGCGGAAAAAATCGGCTTAAAATCACTCATCGATTGTTTTCGCTCGCAAGCGATTCTTGCCGGTGCGGCAAAAAATACTCACCCGTCGGTTTTCACTGGATCGCCTTGGTGTCGGCGTAGCAGTGGTCACCGAGGTGGTAGTTTGTGCGGCTGCTGGTTGTACAGCCTCTTGTGGCACGTGCTGCGGCGGTGGCGAAGCACCAACCGTAACAGCACCGGTGGGCATGGTGGCTTGAACCCCGGTCACCATGTTGTCGAGTAAATGACAAATATGTATCACAAGTTCACTGTTGAGAGACACAGCGCGCAAGAGACTTTGCACTCGCGTGTGCTAGCTGCTGACTGACTGAGCTAGGAGCGCAAGAGAACAGAGCTGCTCTTGCAAGGCGCGTCGGAGCTCGACTGACTGTTGGCTCGTTCGGCGTCGGAATGCCAGCTCGGAACTCGCGCTGCTTGCGAGGTAGGACAGAGTGGTGGAATAGTGGTGGTTTGCGCCGCGGCAGTGTAGTGGGGATCGAAGCGGATGGCTTTGGTGTGCGGCTCCGCGTCGCGCGTGACTCCCCACTCCTCTCCTATACCGTGCCGCGAGAATTCCGACGCTGCGCCTGCAGGCTTGCCGACTCGCCCCCCCCCCTCCCCCCTTCCACCATAGTGCTCGCTCTCGCTTGCTTGTAGAATAAGGGGGCCTTTGCTTGATGATGACGCTGCAGTAGTGGGGAGACTTGAGGAAGAAGCTGACCACCGGCTGCAGCCCGAGTGTGGGAAAAAAGGCGGCTGCGAGACAGACAGAGAGAGAGAGAGAGAGAGAGCGTATGTGTGTCGCGTGTGCGATGTGCTTATGGTAATCGATGGCAGCGGCGAGCAGCAGCGCGACTCTCTCCTCTCTCTCGTTTGTCGCACGCGTACACGAGCCACTTGTTCATTCATTGCGAGCGCCGTGTGGCACTGCACGCGGAAGCGAGCTTTGCGATTTTCCTGTATAGCAGCCTGCTGTAGGCAGACTTTAATTGTAGCGCACAGCCAGCGCCACGATCAACAGGTGCCCTGGCGGGGAGCGAGCATTGATTTCTTTCGCCCGTGCGCCGCCAAGTGCCTAGCCGCACCCTGTATGTGTATGCCCGTTTGTTTGACTTGCAGGAATTGCTTACTAGATTGTGGTTGGATTAAAGTGGATTGATTTAAATAGGCTGTTTCATCGACTGAACGCTATCGCTTCTCTAATAGAGTGCTCAGAAATTTGGGCGTACACTGACGTACGCGTGCTTACCGATTAAAGTCACTATCGCGAATGGCGAATTGCGTATAATAACGAATAATATCGATAGGCACATCACTGGATCGTCAATATATTGACGATGGGATTTGAATTTGGAAGAGCGCCGTAAAAGAAAAGCGAGTGTCTCGTTATCAAGAATCGATCAAGTCTCAGACGAGCAGCAATAATAAAGAAGAAAATAGGAACGAAAGAAAACGTCGACGACAGGACTGATGGGCGACACACATCAATGACCCGCCCCCTCCGCCCTTGCAGACGAACATAAGTCGAGGAGCGCGCGGATATCCATACATATCGTCCAGGTGTAATACGTCGCGCGGCGAGCGCGCGCGTTGCACCTTCCTCATAGCTCCCACGGCTGATTTTTCGGGAGTGGAAAGGCGTACGGTATATATGTAGCGCTGGCTGCGGTGTGTGGGTCGAGAGAGAGAGAGAGAGAGAGCGGCTGGCGCATCGAAAATAGCCAGCTGTCGCGCGAGATCGTGAGAACCTCAGCGGTTCGTCTGACGCACGGCGCAATTCTGGCACGTGCCCCGATCTCCTTCCTTCACAGTCTTTCTCTCTGCCTCCACATTTATACACGCACGTTATATGTCGAGTGCCGGCTGCTCGCTCTCTCACGACGCTCTCTCTCTCTCTCTCTCTCTCTCTCTCTCTCTCTCTCTCTCTCTCTCTCTCTCTCTCTCTCTCTCTCTGGTTGTAATCAGCCGATTTTCGCACGCTCCCAACGGGCCAGATGGCATTAGTCATCGTTTAATGAGCCGCACGCGCTTATACATTGCCCTTTGACAGTAGGCCTTCCACCGTTCTTCTACAACTTTGCCGTGCCTTCGGCACCTGTTCAGGCACGTGCGTACTTGCACTGTACGGGCATTCGTCCGGACATACACGTGGCAGGGGGTCGTCGACGCTAAGCTCTCGGAGAAAAGATTAGAGCAGACCACAGTGGGATTCATTAGGGCAGGTGGTCGCGGAAGTGGTTAATATTTGGTTTAGAACGAGGGGGATTTAACGGAATCCTTAGTATTTATCCTTGCTTCGCGAGATCAAACTCTGCTCGTCCACTTGTTGAACGCTCCCGTGATTTACAATGACGTTCAGTTTGACATTAATGTTCTATATAGAGGAATTTTCACAACTACTTTTACGAGGATCAGTAGAATGTTCTTTATGTCTGTCAAAAAGTAATAAACAGGATTTATCTATGAATTGATTTAAGATAATGAAAGTTACCAATAACTTTTTTTTCAAGTGAAATTATCAATAATTAGTCGGGCATGAAAAAATCAATTTCAATCACAACATTCGTATAGAATTTACAACAATAGATATTTCAAAGTTTTTTAGTATAAAAATATGATATTTGTGTTAGACACACATGCTCGCGCGCGCACACACACGCACACACATACACATAGTTAGTAAGAGCTTACTAATACAGAATTTCTTTCCAGATTATTATTACAGCGCAAAGAAAATTGACAACTCTGAGAATGTGTTGACCTTCAAGTCAATCGATCTGAACCAAAAATAAATTAAAACATTGTAACGTTATTGCTATTGGTGAAAACGAGTGTGCGTAACGATGTCACTCCTCATTTTTTAATATTTATTTTATTGCTTATGTTTATTAGCATTATAAATAGTCACTTGACACTACGGTACCACGAATCACATTCTGTTACGTACAACCGATATAGGGCTAATCCGTCAACTCAATATTCGAAAATAAGGAGGAGAGAAGATAGATCGCGCGGGAACGCGTGACACTAATCTAAGGCCCTGGGTGGTGTCGGTGCCTGGGGTTCCTTGCTTGCTGATACGTTCCCCTTGGATCACAGTGAAGGTGATACGACTCGGTCCGGATGTCATCTTCGACGTTACGAGGTGTATGCAGCCTCTTCTGGAGCGAGGTGGGGTAGAACGAAATCCGAAACCAGCTGGTGAAGCACGCGGAGAGAGAGAGAGAGAGAGAGAGAGAGAGAGAGATGTTGCTCGGGACCCCGGGCCCCAGGCGAGAGAGCAAGCCATCCGCGTTGACCAGCGACGTTGGTCTCATCATCGCTCGATTCGACGCAACGAGGGCGTGACCGGTACGAGAAACCGTCAAAACGCGATTGTGTAGGTACAGACGGAGGTTAATAACTGAGCTTTACGTAATCACTATTAAGAGCGCCTGCTTAGAGACTTTTTCACATTTTAGTATGTAATGAAAATTGCAACAAGTGTACATGTGGATTGAATATCCATACGAGCAAGTAATGGAAAAACAACGAAATGATTTGAGCAAAAGCTGAAACTCATTAATTATCAAAAGTGACACTCCCCCACGCGCAGTCTCAACATCAAAAACTTAACTGGCAATTAAGCTGGCACAAATAGGTCAACCTGTACGCCCCCGCTGAAAACACGCAATCAATTAAGGGCATATCAGCATGTTGATTCACTAGAATCCATCAGTGACAAAAAACGAGAGGGAGAAAGCAATAAATGCGATAGCATTTTGTAATTGCTGGTAGCAAATGAATAATGTTAAAATTAACTCATTTTTCTCAGCTGTTGCTGAAGCGTAGCGATGCTGGTGTGTGTATGGTGGGGGAGAGATATAAGCGAGAAAGCCTGGGAAAAAGAAAAAGATTTGGCGCCGAGCGAATAATAAGGAGCGAAGCCGAGAAAGAGAGCGGGGCGAGTGAAAGAGAGGGAGAGGAGAGAAGCCCGGGAGTTCGTAGAAAGGCGCGAGGGGGCACTCTTCGCTCCCACACACACGCACACCTGCGCGCCGCCGCCACCGCTGCTCGTGCGAGCCACACGTGTCCTCCGAGAGCGCCTGGGAAAGGAACACCGCCGCAGCCGGATGATGCCGCAGCCCCAGAAAGAGCGTGCGCGCGCGCGCGCGCGCGCCGAGACGGAGAGAGAGAGAAAGAGAGACGGCGGCGGTGGCGGCGACGTTGGAAAAATAAAAGAACGAGCCGAGCGAGGAGAGGAAAGAGAAAGAGAGAGTACGGACGCGTGCCTCGAGAAAACGACAGTGCGATGGAGAGCCTCTCATTGGCCAACCGTCACTCCCCACTTTTTCCTTCCTCTTCTTTTCTTCGGCCTGCGCTTCGGCTGCTTTTGCGGCGCAGGGAGGGGGGGATTGTGGCAGGCAGTCCTGCGGCTGTATTCGAGCGCGTGCAGCGCACGCACACACGCGTGCGATGCATACCGGAACTCGCGTATACGCACACGCACGCGTGTGTGCTGCACGCGCGAGAGCGAACAACCAAAAGTGGGGGGGGGGGAGAGAGAGAGAGAGAGAGAGAGAGAGCACGAGGACCCGCGATAACTACCTGTTGTCATCGCACGAATTCATTTTTATCGGACTTGCACACTTGCGCTAATGCAACCGTACTTCCGCGTGCTTTTGTTGCACGCGCTCTTTCGGTTTTCCTTTTCCTCTTTTCTTTCTTTCTTTTTTTTAGGTAATCGCTCGGATGTTTATCAATGTCGTATTCTTTTTGTTCGTACAAGAGACATGTACTAGTTTTTTGTTTCGAGGTAGGATGTTTTGACGGATATGAGGTTTCACGGAAGTGTGCAGCTTTGTGTACGATTGTACTGACGTTCGGTATGTTACGTCATTTTGGTTTTATTGACGATATCGCATAATGGCGATAAGCTGATAAAATTTGACAAGGAAAAATTATTTTTCCTGTTGTGCGAAAATTAATTGGAAACAAGTGCTTGTCATTTAAATACGAATTTATTCGAACCGACGATATTCAATTATTTAGGTTTGACATATAGATATTACTGTAAAATTGTTTCATTTTAATATTTTGATTGAAATACAATATTTATTTTTAAAAGTCTAAAAAGTAAAATGAAAAAAATTGACTAAAATATATCAATACCTAATACCGTAATCGTTGTAATAGACCAAAGAAATTGCAACGTAAAGCCCTACGGGTATATTGGCTATATATATATACAAGTATACCTGTATGCTACAGCCTACATGAAGAAGAAAAAAATACCGACAAGCGCGTGCTACCACCTGACGGAAGATTTGGGAACTTTTGATTTTAGAATACTCCATATCGTCACGTCAGTCTGTACCTGTTGTACACTTAGTATTTACCTTTTTTTTTAATTTTTATTGGATAGTTACAA